GATCAGCAGGACGCGCGGTGAGCCCAGAGTCCTCCTACGCTGCCGTCTTCCCTAAATGAACAGTTTTTTTAAAAAAATAAATAAAAATTGTAAAATACAATACATCAAACAATAGCTTGAAATATGTCCTCAGCATTTCTAAAGATCTTGGAATGTAATAAGCTGTTAATCTTTCAGGTATTTTCTTCCTGTGATAACATAGCTGATTGTTTCATGCCCTTCACCATTAGATATATTTGGTACCACCACTATCACAACCACCACCATCATCATAGACCTACTGTTCTATGCACTTTATGAGTATATGCAATTTTTCCTCACAAAAATCCTATGAGGTAGTTTTTTTATTCCTTTTTTGCAGATAAAAGAAAGATGTATAATAAAGTGTTAAAATACTTGCTAAACCATATTTTCATATTTAACCTTTTCTTGTGTATCAAAACTATTTCATATTTCAGCAATGGAAAAAACATATTTATTGTTAAACCTGTGAACATTCATGTCCCTAAATTTCTGCCACTCCAGGTTATGACAATTAAAGCCTAAGTTATTTCCTAACAACCAACACCACAGAAATGCAACATATTTTAGGAGAATATTATAAAAAACTGTATGAGAACAAATTGGAAAACCTGGGAGAAATGGATAAATTCCTAGAAACAAATATTAACTACCCTGAAACAGGAAGGAATAGAAAACTAGAACATACCAACAACTAGCAAAGAAATTGAATCAGTAATGAAAAAATCCCAACAAATAAAAGTACAGGGCCAGATGGCTTCACATGTAAAGAAGACTTAATACCTATTCTTTTCAAACTATTCCAAAAACTAGAAAAGGAAGGGAAACATCAAAATTCATTGTATGAGGCCAGCATTGCCCTAATACCAGAACCAGATAAAGGCTCCAGTAAAAGAGAGAGCTACAAGCCAATATCCATGATGAACATGCATGCAGAAATTCTCAATAAAATACTAGCAAACAGAATCCAACAGTACATTAAAAAAAATCATTCACCATGATCAAGTGGGATTTATTCCTGGGTTGCAAAGGCAGTTCAATATTCTCAAATCAATCAATGTGATATACCACATTAATTAAAGAAAGTATAAGAACTATATGATCCTTTCAATAGATATAGAAAAAGCATTTGACAAAGTACAATATCCATTCATGATAAGAACCCTCAATAAATAGGTTTAGAGGGAACATACCTTAACATAGTAAAGGCAATATATGGAAAACCCACAGCTAATATCATCCTCAATGGGGAAAAACTGAGTCAGGAAAGAGACAGGGATGTCCACTCTCACCACTGTTATTTAACATAGTACTGGAAGTCATAGCAACAGCAATGAGACAACAAAAAGAAATAAAAGGCATCCAAATCAGCAAAGAAGAAGCAAAACTTTCACTATTTCCAGATGACATAATACTCTATATAGAAAACCTGGAAGACACCAAAAAAACTGCTAGAACCAACAAACTAATTCCAATAAACTAATTCAGGAAAGTTGCAGGATACAAAATCAATCTGCAGATATCTGTTGCATTTCTATACACCAGTAATGAAGCAACAGAGAAATTAAGAAATCAATACCACTTACAGTTACACCCAAAACAATAAGATACCTTGGAAAAAACCAAGGAGGTGAAAGACCTGTATTCTGAAAACTATAAAACACTGATGAAAGAAATTGAAGATGACACAAAGAAAGGTAAAAACATTCCATGCTCATGGATTGAGAGAACAAATATTGTTAAAATGTCTATACTACCCAAAGCAATCTCCACATTTAATGTAATCCCTATCAAATACTAGCAGCGTTTTTAACAGAGCTAAAACAAACAATCCTAAAATTTGTTTGGAGACACAAAGGACCCTAATAGCCAAAACAACATTGAAGAAGAAAAGCAAACCTGTAGGTATCACAATTCCGGACTTCAAGTTATAAAACAAAACTGTAGTAATCAAAACAGTATGGTACTGGCACAAAAATAGGCACATAGGTCAATGGAGCAGAGTAGAAAACCCAGAAATGAACCCACAACTATATGCTCAGTTAATCTTCCATAAAGCAGGAAAAAATATCCAATGGGAAAAAGTCTTTTCAAAGAAAAGTCTCTTTTCTTTGGTTCTAGAAGAAAAATACAGTGTTGGGAAACCTGGACAGCTACATGCAGAAGAATGAAACTGGACCACTTTCTTATACCATACACACAAAAAAATTTTAAATAGAGGAAAGACCTAAATGTGAGACAGGAATCTGTTAAAATTGTAGAGGAAAACAAAGCTAGTAACCTCTTTAACTAACTTCTTTGACATCATCTGTAGCAACTTCTTTGTAAATATGTCTCCTGAGGCAAGGAAAACAAAAACAAAAGTAAACTATGGAGACTTCATCAAAGTAAAAAGCTTCTACACAGTGAAGAAAACAATCAACAAAACTAAAAGGAAACCTGTGGAATGGGAGAAGACATTTGCAAATGACATATCTGATAAAGGGTTAATATCCAAAATATATAAAGAAGTTATAAAGACTCACACCAAAAACAAATGAATAATCTAGTTAAAATATAGGCATGAATAGGCATTTTCTCAAAGAAGACATACAGATGGCTGACAAACACATGAAGAGATGCTCAGCATCACTCATCAGGGAAATACAAATCTGAACTAGAATGAGGTATCACCTTACACCTGTCAGAATTGCTAAAATGAACAACACAAGAAACTACAGGTATTGGTGAGTATGTGGAGAAAGGGGGATCCTCTTACAGTGTTGGTGGGAATGCAAACTGGTGCAGTCACTCTGGAAAACAGTGTAGAGTTTCCTCAAAAAGTTAAAAATAGAACTACCTTAGGATCCAGCAATTGCACTACTAGGTATTTACCCAAAGAATAAAAAACATTACTAATTCAAAGGGGTACTTGCAACCTGATGTTTATAGCAGCATTATTGACAGTAGCCAAATTATGTAAACAACCCAAGTGTACGTCAATTGATGAATGGATAAAGAAGAGGTGATGTGTGTGTGTGTGTGTGTGTGTGTGTGTGTGTGTGTGTGATGGAATGTTACTTAGCGATGAAAAAGAATAAAATCTTGCCATTTGCAACAAAATGGATGGAGCTAGAGAGTTTTATGCTAAGTGAGATAAGTCAGAGAAGGGAAAATACCATGATTTCACTCATATGTGGAATTTAAGAAATGAAACAGATGAACAAAGAGGGAGGGAGAGACAGTGAGGTAAACCAGAAAACAGACTCTTAACTATAGAGAACAAAATGAGGGTTGCTAGAGGGAAGGTGAGACGGGTGAAATAGGTAATGAGGATTAATTGCGCACCTGTTGTGATGGGCACTGTGTGTTGTATGGAAGTGTTGAATCACTATGTTGTACACCTGAAACTAATATTACGTTGTATTTTAAGCAACTAGAATTTAAAAACTAAAAAAATATAAAACCTGAGTTATTTCCAATTATTTTCAAAAAGGGATGTCTTCGAATTATTTGTTTCTCTCAAAAGTATATATATGGACCTTGAAGCTGCTATAATATTTTACCATCTCTGAGCACCCACATGCATGTATGTATATATATAATTTTTAACTTGCACAGTTTCTGTAACATATAAGTAATGGAAGGATTTGTGTTTAACTTTGTATAGGAAGCAGTGAAAGAAAACAACAAGAGAAAAGAAATGGAAGAGAAGACTAAGAGGGCAAAGCTCGCAAAAGAGAAAGCTGAACAAGAAAAGTTAGAACGCCAGAAGAAAAAGAAACAACTCATTGATATAAACAAAGGTATGAAGTACTTTAAAAAATTTTAAATAAAGTAATTTCACTTAATTTTGGATTATAAATTAAATGTTTTGTGTAGAAATTTCACAATATTATTAGTTACTTGTGTCAAATTTCTCTCATGACATTATCTATATTTTTTAATCACCATACACTGGGCACTCAGGATTTTTGAGAATCAATGCAAGGTAATATATTGTTGAAATGGTCTCTTTCCCCTCATTTATTTTATCAAATTATATCATATTATGTTCTGGATAATGCAGTGGTGAGGGAAGAAGCGGGTGAGATGAAAAGAGAAAAAGAAGTATGGGGACATGAGCCCTATGGCTCTGATCTCATTTTGTTGACTCGTGTCTGTTGACAACACAGTAATAACAGTTTTCCTTGGGGCTTTGAACATTACAAGTCATAATAGATATTGACAGTACTATTATAAGTTGAAAAAAATAGACGTCTTAACTGAGACCCTAAGAACAAAGATACTGTATGTCATAATATAAAGTAAATTGTTTTCTTGGTTAGTAAGATTGACTGTATATTATTGGTGGGTTTTTTTTTCTTTTTTAGGAAGAGAGGGTAAATAAAGTGATTGGCACCAGGTAGCTACACTCTGAAAAGTTAATAAAAATTAAGAAAAAGCATAGCCTTTGCCACTGAGGGTTAGAGAATTTAAAAGCAAAACAAAATCTGAACAAGATATGAGAACATGATTAATATGGACCACCTATTTCTTAATATAGTGACAGTAAAAATTGCAAGCGCTGTGTAATGTTGACCATGTGCCAAGCACTGTTCTAAGACTTTGACATGTTTTAAGTCAGTTAATCTTCATAACATAAGAAGTAGGTACTGTCATTACCTCATCCAGTTGAGGAAACTGAGGTTTGTAGAAATTAAAGAACTTGCCCAATATCACACAAATGAGAAGTGTATCACCAAGATTAGAATCCAAGTAGTCTGGCTATAGAATCTTTGCAATTATAAATGCCATTGTCAAATAATAATAACTAGCAACAACTACTAACATGTAGCACTATGCACCAGGAACTGTTGCAGGAGTTTTGCGTATACGAACATATCTAATCCTCATAAAACCCTATAGGAAAGGGCTAGTATCTCATTTTTAGATGAGGAAACTGAGGGACAGAGAAGTTAAGTAACTTACCCAAGTTCACAGAGACAGTCAGTAAGAGATAGATAGAATCAAGATCTGAATCTAGGCAGTCTGTGGCCAAATTTATTATTTTTATCATAAGTATTAATTATAATGATTAACCATTACCAATTATTTTGTAGTAATGTCTCTTAATAGCTAATCTTCTGAAATGATGTCTATACCATTAAGTTTATTCTTTATACCTTTAAAATATATCAAATGTTTTAGGAATTTCCAATAGTTTATCTTTTATATCCCAGGAAATAAATATAACAACATTTTAAAAGAAGAAAAAAAGTTAAAAACCAAGGTTAAAAAGAGTAGCATCAACATAATTTAGCAAACAAACTTCATAATTAGGATGAAAAGAATTGATCCTGACTGAAGATACTCAATTAGGAAAAGCAATGGGTATTCATAGGAAGTTCTTGCTTAAAAGGTGATGGAGTCAGTAGAATAGGACTAAAAGTTACTCCCTTTTATGCATGGACTAATAGTGAGATAAGAGTATGGAAGAAGGGGCTCCTAGGTGGCTCAGTTGTTTAATCATCTGATTCTTGATTTCTGCTCAGGTCATGATCTCACTGTTCATGAGATAGGATGGAGCCCTGCATTACCATGGAGCCCCCTTGGGATTCTCTCCCTCTCTCTCTCTGCCCTTCCCCCACTCATGCTTTCTCTCTCTCTCTCTCTCTCTCAAAAATAAACAAACTTAAAAAAAGGTGTCTTGAAGAAGTAGGGGGCAGATGGTGCATTCCCTTGGCTATGCTAAGGCCTTTACCCTGAAGGCGATGGGAAGCCTGTAAGTATTTATAAATGGAAAAAATGATATGTTTGATAGATTTCTTAGATCATTTTGACAAAAGCATAGAAAATGGATTGGAAAGAGAAGGGCCTGTGACAACAGTGGTTATAAAGTTATTATCATAATCCTGACAAGAGATGATGACAGCCTGAATTCAGTGGTAGTAAGGTTAGAGAAGTTACCAATAAGAGGTATATTTGAGTTCTATAGGATGTGGATATATAGAGACAGATTTATTTAAAGGAATTTGTTCATGTGATTATGGAAGCTGGCAAGTCCAAAGCCTGCAGAGTAAGGTGTCAGGATAGACCCAGGGAAGAGCCAGTGTTCCAGTTGAAGTCTAAAGGCAGTTGGCTTGCAGAATTCCTTCTCAGGGGAAGTCAATTTTTTTTAATGTTTATTTATTTTTAGAAGAGAAAGAGAGACAGAGTGCTAGCAGGGGAGGGACAGAGAGAGAGGGAGACACAAAATCAGAAGCAGGCTCCAGGCTCTGAGCTGTCGGCACAGAGCCCAATGTGGGGCTCAAACCCACAAACCTTGATATCACCACCTGGGCTGAAGTCAGATACTTAACTGACTTAGCCACCCAGATGCCCCAGGGGAGGTCAAACTTTTTATCTATTCATGCCTTCAGCTGGTTGGATGAGACCCACCCACATTATGGATAGCAATCTACTTTATTCAAACTCCACATATTTAAATGTTAATCTCATCCCAAAACATCCTCACAGAAACATCCAGAATAGTGTTTGAATAAATATCTGGGCACTGTGGCCCAGCCAAGTTGACCCATAAAATTAACCATTACCAGAGGGGTATTAAATGGTAGAACTGACTGACCCTACTGGTTGATTGGATATGGGAATTGAAGAAAGGAGGCATTAAAGAATGTGATACCCTTCATAAAGAAAAAATCCAGGAATAGAGCAAATTTCATCAGTAAGGTTACAATGATTAGTGTCATTTTGAACATGTTTCATTCTCAGATGTTTTGGAAAGATCGGAAATGTCTAAGTAGCCATTGTATATGTGTGTATGAATCTCAGTAAAGAGGTTTGGACTACACAGACAGGCTTGAAAATCATTGGTTTTAGATGATTAGGGTTAGGGTATATTAGTTTGCTAGGTCTTCTGTAACAAAGTATCACAAACTGGTTGGTTCAGAACAATAGAAATCTATTGTTTCACAGTTCTAGAGGACAAAAGGTGTTATGGGAGGGCTGTACTCTTTCTGAAGATGCTAGGGAGAGATCTGTTCCAGCCTCTCTCCTAGCTTCTGGTAATTCCTTGGTTGTAGCAGCATAACTTTGATCTTGGCATTCTCCCTGTGCATGTCTGTCTCTTCACATGGTGTTCTTTTTATTAGGATACCAGTCGTATTAGATTAAGGGTCCAACCTACTCCAGTATGACCTCACCCTAATTAATTAGACAGCTCAACCCATAACATGACTTTGAATGAGATCACTAGGGTAAAATACAAATCAGAGGTTCTGAAAGTATTTGGTCTCAGAACCTGTTTACACTTTTGAAATGTAACTTACTGTGGACCCCAAATACTTTTTGCTTATTCAGTAATATATATTGACATTTATCATGCTAGAATTAAAATAGACATAATAAATAAAATTATATAAGATAAATCATTTTAAAATTATTTATTTACTAACTCTATTAAAATAACAAAGTAAACCTATTACATGCTAAATAACGTTTTTCACAAAAAGTAGCTTCATGTTGTAACCCCCATGTCCCCCAAATATTAGTAAGAAGGGAAAATTAATATTGTAAATTTCTTCAAAGGCTGGCCTAATAAAAAACAGCTTGATTCTCATACCTGCTTTTACATTCAATCTAATACAGTACCATTTGTCATGTAACTTCTGGAAAACACTATACACTCAGGAAAGAATGAGAGAGAAATAGGCAAAAAAGTATCACTATTCTTATGAAGATAGTTTTTACCTTGCATATTTTATGTGATGTCAGAGGCCCCCACAAGTCCCTAGAACACACTTTGAAAATCTCTGGGGTGAGTAATGAAAGAGCAAGCAGTCAAGACAGAGTCTGTTGAGCTTTGTGGCAAGAAAATAATCTTGCCCCCATACCACATTGCGCCCTTCCCCATCCCTGAGTATTTATCAACCTTTCACTTTTTCCCTAAAAATATACCTGTAATAGAAAGAAAAAAGAAATAAAGAAAGGACCTATTTTTATTATGTTTCTAGTATATATTTTCATTTCCCAAGATTTGGTCAATTACCTCTTCAAATATCATTGAGGCCATAGTATAAAGATCCAAATAAGTTTTTATGCATTTGCTTAGCTGAGTTATCTGAATATGAAAAACATACTTTAATATAGGATTTATCTTTTGTGTATTGTTACCATATCTCTATTTCGAGATCCAAGAATAAACTTGACCATTAGGTTCTTGATTGATGGTCTATATGTTGTAAATACTTTATTATTATTAACAATAATTATTATTATTTTATACTTAAGAGTATATGTGTGTTAGTACTTGTACATATGTTTCAAAAAATGATTCTTCCATTGGACAGCATAGCCTTAAGAAGATGAGAAGAAAGAATAAGAACAGAGTTGGGGAGTTGGTGGTCAAGATGGAACTCAGTGTCACTGAGTTTCTCAGACAGTATCTTATAAAAGATGCTAATGTTAACTAGGTGGAAGTCAGTTGCAGACACTTAGAGGGTCTGGGAGGAAGCATGGTCAAGCTACATAAAATATGAATCCATGGGTGGCATGAGAATGAGTTGCAATCAGAACATAATTTAGAGAACTTTAAATGTGTCTAATAAGAACAGTGTTATCCACTTTCCAGTGAAAGAATTATATTCTTCCTTTCTACTGAAAGATGATGTAGAACATTTGGTTGTCATTGTGAGATATGTATTATATAGAGCATAGAGGTATTTTGTTGCATATGTGATTAGAGATATTTACCATTAAAACCAGAGGACCTTACCTATAACAATAGTAGTCAAATAGAGTCCCTTGGGTAAATAAAGTCAGTTGA